TCGTTCTCGTCCTCTGCTGTGAACGCCACATTCGGATCAAGCGGCATCCCTACAGCGTTGGCGTTCTCAAGCTGGTATCGCTTGAGAATGCTCTCGATGTAGTGCTGTTGCGAGATTTGAAGTGTTCCCACTTCCCTATCTCGCTCAATTTCAATCCCAACAATTTTCTGCGGCTCACCAAGGTCCGTGACTTCGAAGAGGTCCTGCAGGTCGCGCTTGAGCTCCTCCATGAGCTTCGGAGAGTTGGTGAATAACAGTAAGTCATCCACCCATACCGTGATAATCTGAACTTCTCCTTCCTTTCGCTCCCGCAGGTATACACATGGATCCGCCTCCAGCCGCTTGTACCCGAGCTCCGTCAGCTCGCGATGCAGCTTGCGGTTCCATTCGCGCCCGGACTGCTTTAGTCCGTAGAGCGTCTTGTGGAGTCGACAAACGCGTCCACTTCCATCATCGAAGCCTTCCGGCTGTCGCATGTAGATCTCCTCCTGGAGGTCTCCATTCAGGTAAGCTCCCTTGACATCCATCTGGCCTATTTCCCAGTTATTAACTACTGCTAATGCTAGGATGGCCCTGATGGACTCAAGACGAACTACAGGGGCAAAGGTTTCAAGGAAATCCATCCCTGGGATCTGTGAGTACCCCTGTGCCACCAATCTGGCTTTGTACTTGACAACCTGACCCTCCTTGTTGGTTTTCCTCTGGAAGACCCACTTGCAGCCCACAGCATTTCGACCTTTTGGTAAGTCTTGTAGCTCCCAAGTCCCCATGCCCTGCAACTGATCATATTCCGCTTTTACAGCCTTTTCCCATTCTGACCATTCCGGAGAGGCTTGGGCCTCCGCGAGGCTTCGCGGTTCATCTCCCGCACTCGCCGTTCTGTCGCCCGATGCCAGCGCTGTCGCATACAGTGCCTGCGCAATCTCTTCTAATTCTTCGGGCATCACAGCGACTTTCGCACTTTCACCCGGTGCGTTCTCTTTCAGCACTCCCGGCGGCTCGCGCAACTTTGCGGGCTGCGCGCGGGGGTTATCCATCTTTCGATAGTCGTGATCCTGCATGACGCGGGTTGTACGACGAAGAGGGATCTTCGGGGGTGCAGACAAGAATGTCGGTCGCTCTCGCATGCTCTCCTGCATCTCGGGAGGTAAGTCTTCCTCCGTAATGTGGTTTCCATCGTGTTTCTTATTAGACTGATCAGCTTTGACAGGTACTGATGCTGGTTTTGATGCAGATGTGGGAGGCTGCTGCTTGACAGCTCCCCCTGACTCCCCCTTGAGCGGCAGCCTGTCACTGTCATCAAGCTGATGTACAGGAACATTGCTTGCTGGGTTCGGGGCATCCGCGAATACAAAATTTCGCGAGACTCGGATCGAGCGCACACCCACATCGTAGTAGCGCATGGCCTTCTGGCCATCAGCAAAACCTACAAAGGTGTGTTTCTTCGACTTTGGCTCGAGTTTCGAGAGATTCTGGCCTTCCGTCAGAATCCAGACATCTGACCCAAATTCTCGTAGGTGCGCGACATTGGGCTTCTTGCCTGTCCATGCCTCTTCCGGAGTTTTCCCGTGCAGTGCTTTCGTCGGCGCTCGATTTCGCAGGTATGCTGCATATGCAACAGCTTCCGCCCAGAGGAAGTTTGGAAGCTTCCTCGCAATCAACATTGCACGAGCAAGCTCCAATAGCGTGCGATTAAATCGCTCAGCTACACCATTCTGCGAAGGTGAGTATGGTGCTGTTGTTTGCAGCTCAATTCCTTTCGCACGGCACCACCCTTTCAGGTTTTTATTGATGTACTCGGACCCATTGTCAACACGCACGATCTTCAGCAGGTGCCCGAAGTGTCGTCCAATAAAGGTGAGGTATTCTTTCAATTTTTCAAAAGCCTCACTTTTATGTTTCATGAACAGGACTTGGCACCTCCGCGTGCAGTCGTCCGTGAACGATATGTAGTAACGCGATCCGGCGATCGATACTACACGTGTGGGGCCCCAGACGTCACTATGCGTCAACTCGCCTGGCATCTGGGAGCGGTCCTCCACCTCCTTCGGGTATGCACGACGCGCCTGCTTAGCTTGTACGCAGGCTTCGCACTGTGTCAGTGGCATCGAGTTTTCATCAACGGTGAGTCCCTCCACCAAGTTTTCCTTGTAGAGCTTCTCTAACCCTGTGAATCCCAGGTGTCCATATCTCCGGTGCCACGACTCCCACGAGTCGCTATCATCGCGCGCAATGTTCGCGTGCTCTTCACTCGGCATAGCAGCCTTGACCCGCATGTTGAGCAAGTACAAACGGCCGATTTTCCGGCCTTCAGTGATGGCATGGCCGCCACTCTCCCGTAGTGTTATCCCTCCATCACCACCGTCAAAATGTCCGCCCGCCTCATCCAAACGTGTGAGCGACACCAAGTTATTCGTTGCTTTTGGTGCGTATAACACATCCTTCAGACAGAAGGTAAAAGTCTTGCCGCCTATCCTGCTATTGACTTTCACAGTGCCGCGCCCAAGTGCGCGTATGCTCTGGTCACCAATGCTGGTGATCGATGAGGCTTCAAGCGGCATGAAGTCCGTTATTGCATCACGAAGGTTCGTAACATGCGACGTCGTTCCCGAGTCAGCTAGCCAGTCGTAACATGAGAACTGACTACTAAATTGCTGCCCAATACCGATTGCCTCGTCTGTGCGGAATGCAACATCTCGCAGCACATCATTTGTTGACTGTGCCTGGTTCGTGTGCACCTGCACACGACCTCCTTTTTTACTTTGCGGTCCCTGACCCGCCTTGCCGCCGCCTTTCGACCAACACTCATGTTGAGTGTGTCCACGCTTGTGGCAATTCCAGCACTCCGCGTCGGACTTCCTGTCCGTTCCGCCCTGTGCAGTATTCTTCGGCTGGGTCCACCGTCCGCGCGCTGCCAGCGCAGACTCATCGGCACTGCCTTTCTCTCGCCTGCGCCGGTATTCTTCAAGCAAGATGGCTATCAATTCATGCGATGTCGGCAACTTGTCCTTCTGGCTTGTTGCACCCAGGTACGCAGATGTGAACTGGTCCCAAGACTCCGGTAACGATGTGATCAGGATCGCTCGAAATTCGTCATCCGACACCTTGCTACCCATCATGTGTAGCTGCTCCTGTGTCCGGCGGAGCTCCGTGATATGCGCTGCGATATCGCTGCCTTCCGTGGCAACTGTGCGATAGAATTTCCTTTGGTACGCCATTATCCCCAGTTGTCCACTCGCCTCCTTTACTAACTTCAATTGGTTCCACATCTCCGCAGCCGTTGTAGCGTCCGCAATGTGTATCATCTGCGAGTCACTCAACAGCAGCTCGATAACGGTCTGGGCTTTTTGATCGCCCTCAACCCATTTCGTGATCACCGCCGTTTCTCCTGCTGTTGGTGTTGTTGCATTTGCCGGCTTCGGCTTCTCCGAGGTCCCATCAACATACTTCAGGACACCGTGCTCCCTTAAGATCGCCATAGTACGGCGCTTTCATGGGAGCCAGTTGTCATCGCGAAGTTGCTCGATTCGGAACAAGGACGACAGGCTGTCACGAGATTCGGTAGTACTCGACATTGTAACTACCGATAGTCAGAGTGTGTAACAAGTAAGTAGAAGCTGGTAAAGTATAAGCTATAAGCTAGCGGGGCTCATAACCTATTAGCACAGCTCGTATGAATTCCTCCGAGTGAGTGATTTGGGGAAGAGATATTATTCGTGGGACCTGCAAGAGGTCCCTCCTTATATACTACACCAGTAGACTAGTCCAGAACATACTACATAGTTCTCGTAGCTACTGTATCCTTCGATGCTGAATAAGATATCGGGGAATATCGCCCGACTACCTGGATGCTCCGGATTGACTAATAAGGTCATCCCGAAGCCTCCAACACATTTCGGCATTAGCCAATGGTAATTCTCACAAGTACAGGGGGTTACTATTACACACTACTGCGGAATTGTGGGGGAGGAAAGAGACCTCGTAGACTAAGCAATAAGAGGATTGTTTTTATGGTGCGCATAGACTAAAAAGTAACTCAAGGGAAAAAAATTGAAACTGTTATTTTTTCTTTTTCTTTTTCACAGCTGTGACATTGTCAGGTAGATTCATTCCTGGTCATTCCGTGGAGGAAGTGATGATGTCTTCATAACCGGGAGAAAGAACTGATTTGAGAGACGTCGGCGTAGTAGGCATCGGCGTCACGATTGCGGCGTTCAAAGTCTTTGTCCCATGTACGTTGTCTTGTTATGTTCATCGTCATCTTGCCGAGTGCTCCTCCGAGTGCTCCTTTCAACGCCGATTCACATTCGTTTGGATGAAGAGCCTTTGCATCACGTACCCAATATATTCTGCACGGTTCGTATCTTTTGCCATCTAACAGGCTAATCCATGGCAACAAATTCCAAGACCATATTTTCAACACATTAACGGTCTCCGTGAATGTCGAATGCATTAACAGAGGTAGCGATCATTTCACGTTTCACTTCTCCGATAACTCGGTGCGTCCGACTCTCCATCCCATATTCACTCACACTAAATGCACCACAGGAAACCATCCTCCTCCTCATTCCTCACAGCAGATAGGGAGCATTTAATGTACCATATACAAATCGGTATAATTTCTGTATTCCTAGGAATGATTGTAAAACTTACATAGAGCACACAAACGACCGATAAAGTTCCGTGTCTGAGTCATCTTCTCTTACACACTGTCATGTGCTTTCTCCGCCATCCAATGGTAATTCTCAGAGGTACAAAGGGTTACTGTATCGCACTGCTGCGGAATTATGGGGGAGGAAAGAGACCTCTCTGCGCTCGGTAATAAAAGGGATGCCGACGGCGAGCAGGTTATGTGTGGTCTGGTATAGTCTAAATCATCCCTTTAATGGGGGAGGGACGGGCTGGTCTGGTCTGGCAGTGAAGTCGGTACATATACCTTCCCGGTCCACGTTCACGGTCAGCACGGAACTCTCGACGCACTCAACCAGTTGTCGACAACCATGTCGAAAGCACAGCTAGAACACGAGATCTCCATCACAAAACTCACTTATTCTCATGCTCCGGACCTTTCCCCTTCCCTTTCTGACATAACTTTGGACCTACCGAAAGGGTCACGTACAATTCTTGTAGGCGCGAATGGAGGTACGAGCGCGGTTTTCTCTGTTGCAACTACTCTGATGGCGTTGTCCGTTGACGCTTCAGCTGGAAAGTCAACGCTGCTGCAAATCCTAGCGGGCAAACGACTCATTTCGAAGGATGACACACGAGTAGAAGTCAAGGGGCGAGATGTCTTCCGTCACTCTCCTCCTGGAGTGACATTTCTGGGCACAGAATGGTAGTGTAGCCTTGATTTTCACATATCCCTGGTCTCATCGGTCTGTTTTGAATACCATAGGGCAATGAACCCGGTCGTCCGCGGCGACATCGTGGTGTCAAACTTTCTCAATTCCGTCGGTGGATATCGCCATAAAGCACGGCGTGATCGCCTGCTTGACATTCTTGACGTCGACTTAGACTGGCATATGCATGCGATATCTGACGGGGAGCGTCGGCGTGTCCAGCTGTGCATGGGACTCATGTCCGACTGGGACGTGTTGTTACTTGACGAAGTGAGTGCTCTGTAAGCGTATTGGTTGACATATATCGCATTGACTGGCGCCACTTTGGCACACAAACCATGGAATTTAGGTGACTGTCGACCTGGACGTACTGGTTAGAGACGATCTCCTGAAGTTCCTGAAGGCTGATAGCGAGAGTCGTGGAGCGACAATACTTTGTGAGTTTACTTGGCACCGATTTCATCGATTTCGCCACTTCTGTGACATCTCATCATATCTCTCATAGATGCCACACATATATTTGACGGATTGAACGACTTCCCCACGCATGTCGCGCACATGCATTTGGGAACATTTTTATCCCAACCGACGCCGTGGCCGCTTACAGAGGCGACTACTCTAAACGATGTGTCTATGGATCTAGGGCCCAGTCCATCGCTGTACACTGTAGCGCTACAGTGGTTGAAAGAAGACCGTGGACTGCGGCGGCGGTTGGAAAAGGACGGACGGAAGATGAGAGGTGCTAAGCACGATCATGTGAGTTATGTGCTTCTCGCGCTCAGAACGATCGTTGATAAGTTGGACATGGACACAGGTTCCTTCGGACTCGGAAACGTTTTACAGGAAGTAAGTACCCGTGCCTCGTCTGCCACAGTGAACAGATGCTGATTTCCATGCTCCAGATATGACTACAGCCATTAATGGACCTGCTTGTGCAGGCCAAGTTTGTGCATGGATACGTTTGGCTGAGCTCAACCTCAGGCATAGGACTGTAACTTTGGACTCATCAACCCTAGAGCTCTTCAACGTGACTTATTGATCAGTATTTAACGTTCAACCCTGCAATGTACATGTCGTAGTAACAGACCAGTCAGAAATTATGATCACTGTATGCTATTGGGGCTAGAATTTAAAATCGTGGGAATACACTGCCATAGTTTCAAGGTAATTACCACGGTAACACATATACCAGCCATAATCTCAATTGCGGTCGCTGGCCTGCCCTCGTTGGAGCCGACGACGACGCCCTTACCCTCGTCTCTCCATCTTCCCGACGTGCTGGCCGTCGTAGGACACTTCGTTTTCTCTCTGCCATCTCTTCCTTTGACCCACACTCTTTAGTTTTTTTCGTCTCACGATGAGTCTCCTCACTCTGCGCGATTGCGTCCAGTGCCCTTCTAGCCTTCCCCCGTGTACTTGCTCGTCAGACCAGACCTGTATCCTCATAGAAGAGTGAGTTTTTGTCTCTCCGGGTGGATGCACAGCTTACAAACCGTTTCGGCCAGGTCTTGTAGCGCGTGTGCTAGCTACACCTGCGCAGCAAACGACAAGTCCTCGAGCTCTGGCTCGGGTGGTGTCAGCAAAGGCGCAGTGGCAGGGGCCGTGGTCGGGGTCGTCATATTTCTGGCTGCCGTCGTGGCAGCCGTGTACCTCTACCGCCGACGTCTGCGCAAGCAACGCGAGGCTGTCGCAGCCCTAGAGCGCAAGGGGGACGTGCCGGCTCGCGCGGAGGATGTGCTCAATAGACCTGATCCGAACGAAAAGGCGAACGCGGCAGAGCCTGTACCAAATGAACGTACGGTGCGCGTTTACTCTGGCGCCGATGGTGGTGTCATCAACCTCGATCCCGAGGCGGTGGATTTCAGCGGCGCTGGGCCTACCTCCGCGCACCCGTCCCGCCGTGGGTCTGCGCAATCCAATCCGTTCGAAGACAACCACTCGATCCAGACGACGTCCACTGGAACGCAGTCCAACGTGATCCCTATCGCGCTCGTTGCCCCGCATGCGCACACCCCCCCACCATCGATGCAGGCTACATCGGGATCGAGCGTCGGACCGTCTGGACCCACTCGCCCTTCGCGCTCTCCGGATCTGGACCTGAACCTGGAACATGTCAATGTCTCTCAGGATGCGGTTAACAGCGATGCCGACTCACAGCGCTCTGACATGGGGAACACCAACGCAATCGCGAACCACCGGCTGTCGTACATGACGACGGGCAGCTACGCCAGCGACTTCCTGAACGAGGCACCGGTAATCGTGACGCCGACGCGGGGATTGGTGAAACAGGTGGTTGGCGTGGTCAAAGCCGACTACGTGAGGGCGCCGGCAGCACCAAGCAACGAGGGATTGCGCGCTCCGTCGGGGATGACGCGTCCCCCGGTGCGTTCCCCGCTGGCGGCAACGAGTTTCGGTCCGTCGGACGTGCTGCGGGAGACAGATGATGAGCCAGAGGTCGTCGCACGTGGCAATCCATTCGGTGACGAGCATTCAGCGCAGCACACCGGCCTGCCATCGCCCGCACCGTCTGTGTCAACATTCGGGTTTCCTGACGCTATGCGTACCCCTCAGCAGAGCGCGAGCCAATACTCAGAGCCCACACCCGACCTCGAGCACGAATGGACTCCCGAGGGTCCACGACCTGCATTCGCTAAGAAGGTTCCACGCCCAGTTAGCACAGCCACAGCTGCCTCTTCCGTCATTGGCGCAGACATCAGTACTGCGACGCGTGTGCACATTGGGCTTCAGCAATACATCGGCGACAACGTCCCCCCTGCTACGGCTTCCAGTGGAGCATTGGGCACGCCTCGCTCGCCTTATAGAATGACGAGCGCCCAGCTCGTGTCCCCCCCCTCCGCGGCTTACCGAAACGGGCCAATGGAGCAGCAGCAGCATCGGGCGATGCAAGACCTTGACGAGAGACGAATGTCTCAGTCCTCCGTCTTGACCACGTCGACGCGCGCCGATTCCATCCTCGAGAGTTTCCCCTTCGTTCCACCTTCGCCCATCTCCAACCGTCCGATCCGGTCCCCACCGCGCTCTCCACTTGCACAGCAGACGTTCGCCAATAATAATAAATCAGCACAGTCAAAGATTCCAGCTGCGCGAGGAGAAGTCGTGCACGATACCGCTCAACCTCCCGACTCCCCTCTTCCCCCGCCTCCTAACCGGCAGATGCTTGGACTGTCGGTTGCCTCGCAGTCCTCGACGACATCGAATGGACTGGGCTCGTTCCCCTTCCAGATCGATTCTGGGAGCGGCTCAGAAAGCGCCACGCCTTCGACTTCACCGCCATCCGCCTTTATGGGTCGTCAGCGTGCAAGCTTAGACACGCTTGCTCTAACGAGCGACCTATCCTCGTATCCGCTTGGATTTGATCGCGGTTCTGCGGCGCCTATGCCTCACCGACGCTAAACGGGTTGCCCATGTTACGAATTCGACTTGTCGCAGTGCACCAACACTAACACAACTCCCTCCGTCCCTTTCCACCACTTCCCTGCTTATACCACCTGATCGATTTGGCTCGTCTCTGCCCGCTTGGTTGATCCTGGCAAGATCTCCATCAATGACAGTCTTCCTGCTTCCCCGTCTTTCTCTATGCTTCCCTTCTTTTTGGTTGATACCATACTTGTTCGTACTAAATATTTCAGTTTCTCCTTGTCCCTTAAGAGTTCGACTCTTGTGTAGTCTGTGTTGTTCCATGTGGTGGTCGTGCTGCCTTCGTGCGTTTGCTTTCCCGCATGCGCTGTGCGGTTGTCTGGGTTGTCATTGCGAATATTTATGATTTGCTTGTTTATTCTGTTGAACCGAATATATAGCATGGCGAACATGGACGCTTTGTTCTATAATCAGAGATTCTCAGAGTGTAGACTGACGTAGATCCGAGCATTGCGCACTGCGCAGACTGTGAGTGATCCCATCGCAACTTGGAATGAAGCACAGCTGAACCATGCATAGGAAACGGCGCCGCGCATCGAATTTCCACTTGTGATATGCTTCTGAACGTCTGAGACTGCGCTCGAGCACTTGACATATTGGCACCGGTATCATAGCTGCCCAAGCTGCAGGCATGAACACAGTGCAGAAAACCATCAAGGCGGTGAGACTGGTACAACTCACGTTTTCACAATTTGATCCCATGCGAAGTTTCCCCCGTACAAAGTCATGCCCTGCAGAGTACTTCTTTATGTAAGTCAGATACCTTTCACGTTGAACCCGTTGGTCGTGGCGTTTCAGACATACCATTCCTGGTGGGCGCCCCGCTAAGACTTGTGCGTGCAATTGCATTTCAATCAGAATTTGTGTTCAGGTCAGGCCAACCTCGGGACACCGAGACTCGCAATTCTGCCAGATTATTGGGAGAACATTAACCGTATGTCTCTCTGTCAATGTATGCTTGTCTCGAGAGAATCCCCACAATTGCTCAGTACGCGGTGCCGCAGCATGGCAGCTGTTGATTTCGCAGCCACACTCACATTGGATTCTTGCATCAGAGAATCTATGAACATATGACAAGGAATTGTCAGAGATTATCCGAGATGTACTATCGTTACCCCAGTTCTGCAATCGGGTCTAGTTCTGCAATTTCGCGATTCCACCTCATTCCGCTGTAGCACAAATCACGAAAAAATATGTACTGAACTCACATCATCCTGTATGCCTTGGATATAAATTTTGAAGTACCATGTATGAAGGGAATGTGTTACAAAAGTGAGAATTACTGCTTTGCAGAGCTAGTCTGCTTTCCTGGCTGATTTCCTACCCAAAGTTTCACGGAAAAATTTCACACAGTAGTAGCTGTAAGCAACTGCGCCTCGGGCTACGAGTGGAAGAGGATAGAAATTGGCTTAACTACATAGAAGCCTGTTGAGCTCCTTATATACTGTAAACTAAAAGACTAGAAACTACCAGACTGTTCTCGAGACATTGTCCTTACTAATCCTAACCCTACGGACCTTTCCCGGACCTTTCCGTAGATGCCGGATTGCTAATCCGCACCTCCAACACACCCCCTCAATTCGGCATCTCCAAAATTCATCGGCTATCCATACTTGGAAATCCTGTACCTCGCTATATGCTGTGGGAGCCCTATGCTCGTGACAAGAGAGCCTCCTGCTACCATCCCGCCAGATCCTTCGACCACAACAGCAGAGCCAATGCTTCATTCCCAAGGTACCTCCCTTGATTCCCACGGTAACCCTAACCCTTCAAAATGCAATGTCTCGCAAATCAAAGGCAACCGACGCCTTCTCGGCCTTTGCCGAATTCTTTTCGTTGTACCTGCCCGGTAAGCGACAATCACGAGCAATGTGACCACGCTTTCCGCAATTGTAACATTCCACGTTACGATTTCGATTGTCACGTTTTTTCTGCGCGAATAATGCCATATTCTCGACTTCTTTTTCATCGTCCGCTTTAGGCAATCCTCCGCGTCGTCCTTCTTCGTCGACTAGAGCACCTGTCACATCTGCTATCTTCAGATCACCCTTGGTGGCTGTGAGTGTGCCCGCGATATTAGAGTAGTCCTCATGTAGATTGAATATAAGGACATCAGTAACATCTTCGTCTTCGAGCACAACTCCAATGCCCTTCAACTTCGCTGCCAAATTGGTAATGCCGCTGATGTAATCCCGGATCGGACACTTGGGATCATGCACGAAATTGTAGAATTGACGCTTGAGGGCGATTCGGTTCGCGCGGCTATTTTTCTCGTAGACCGCTGCCAATGCTTTCCATGCCGCCGGTCCATCCGTGCAATCACGAATGTAGCCGTACTGGCTCGGATCAACTGTGAGCCCGATTAGTGTGAGTCCATCTTCCGCTTTCTTCGGCCAGTCTCCCAACTTGTCTTCGGCAGGCTTCGACACCTTTCCACTCACAACGTCCCAGCACGCGTTGCGCCGCATGACCATGGAAACCGCAAATTTCCAGTCATAGTAATTATCTCCCGTGAGGGTCGGGAGCTTGACATGGGGATTTAGCGATGCCATCTTGCGTGATAAGATCGAGTGATAAGATATGAGGGAGAGATTAGATATGAACTAGTGTGAGCGCGGGGCTCATAACCTGTAAGCAACTGCACCTCGGGCTACGAGTGGAAGAGGATAGAAATTGGCTTAACTACATAGAAGCCTGTTGAGCTCCTTATATACTGTAAACTAAAAGACTAGAAACTACCAGACTGTTCTCGAGACATTGTCCTTACTAATCCTAACCCTACGGACCTTTCCCGGACCTTTCCGTAGATGCCGGATTGCTAATCCACACCTCCAACAGTAGCAGGTCACTAAATCTTCTCAACCGGCATAAAGAATAGGTAGGAGATGCGATGTTCTATGTGCTAGAACCCACCGAACGCCGATTGCAAGACTGGTGTGACACTAGGATTTGCAGGTTGAAACTCCGCTCGGCAATTCACGCGCGGGTGGCAATTGCACTTCGCATCCGTGTTCAAGTCTGTTTGACCTGCGCGCGGCATGCTCTTTTCTGCAACACTCTCCTTTGGCTGTCAGCTATCACACCTTACATCTGGTCTACTTTACACAATATCTAACTTGCAATATGCCTCGGGCTGCTGTTCTCCACAAGAAGGGCCTCACCATTCAAAACCGGGAAGCAAAGATTCAACAGGCTGTCGATGGCATCAAGAACGGCACCTATGCTACACCCAAGATTGCTGCTTGCGCGCTCGGTATTGGCTCTCAGTACACCACGATCTGGCGACGGCTCAACAATAAGACACGACCGCAATGCGAGGCCCATCAAGCCAAGCAACTTCTCAACCATGCACAGGAGCGCACTCTTGTAGCATGGACGAAGTGGCTGGGATTCACTGGTCAGCCGGTGACGAGAGAGACGATCTCTCCGAAGGTCAAGGCTCTGTGTGGAAAGGACCCGAATCCCAAGTGGATTGAACGGTTCCTAATGCGGAATCCCGACTGCACTATGGGGCGACCGGCTGGTTTGGATCCGAAGCGGGCTAGTGCGTTTAACTATACTACTGTCAACCACCACTTTGAAGAGCTCCAGAAGACTATCGACCTCTACGACATTCCTCCATGCAACATGTTTAACTTTGACGAGATTGGGATCCAGCTTGGTGGGGGTCGGAAGGGATCGCGTGAGCAGTTCTTCTTTGCCTCAGAGGACCAGAGCCACTACAAACTGAAGAGCGATGACCTGGAGCTTGTGACTGTTCTCGAAACTGTCTGCGCTGATGGCTCATCTACTGTGAAGCCTGGTTTTGTCTTCGCGGGTGTCAAGATGTGTGAAGAGTGGATTTCTGAGGAGGACGGGATTTTGTAAGTCAGATTTGCTCTTGTGCTGCCAATACTCATGTTTCTGCAGCCTTGCTACCACCGATAATGGCTGGACAGATGACCACGTGTCCCAGGAGTGGTTCCAGAGAGCATTTATCCCTGCCGCCAAAGCTCATAGTGATTCTTCGAAGCCAGTGCTTCTGATGTTTGATGGTCATGGATCTCATGTTACATATGAGATGATTACTATTGCAGAGAAGGAGAACATTGTTCTTTATTGTCTGCCATCTCATACGACTCATCGACTTCAGCCCTGTGATGTGGGGGCATTTGGACCACTGAAGAGAGCATGAAATCGTAAGTGTGATTCATTCCTTGAGTCCACTGGAATACCCGTGCGAGCAAAGGATGTGGTGGGGTTATATTTAGCTGCACGGCAAGAAGCTTTCAAGGTCGAAACAATCAAACAGGCATGGCGAAAATCTGGGATTGATTCAAATCCTGAAGGTTCGAAGGTACAGTGCAATCCATCCATCTTCACGGCAACCGACTTCGCTCCAAGTGTCTCCACTTCAACTCAAGTATATCTCCCAGATGGATTTCCAATTGCCAGTACATCACTGTCTACTCCTGGTGCATCATCATCCACTGCTAGTGCACCATTGTCTACCACTTGCGACTCACCTTATGATGTGCCCGATGCACCCGAATCTTGCTTGGGCAGTGACGAAGAAGAAGACTACCCGGATTTGCCAGCAGGTATGCCATCGGCAACCACGACATCCTCTGCCATCGCCAGACTCCCGTCTCCCAGCTTGATTGCAGATGCATCGGCCGCTCTGTCAACACAATTGCCTGATCTAGGCCCTCCACCCCAATACAACGATGACAGCTCAGATTCTGACTTCTCAGACACGGGCTATGATTCAGAGATTTGAGAAAAGCTCGCAAAGCTCAAAAGATAACGAAATAAGGCTTGAGAACAGCGCGACACAGCTGTTTCACACGCAATCTTGGCTGGTAATCATATCAAGTTGCTTCAAGCCAGGCTGAACACAAAGACGTCCAAGAAGCGCAACGGTCGCATTGTGCATATCGGCGACCGCGTGACTATGTCTGATGAAGCGCGTGAGGAGGCTTTGCAACAGAAGTTAGTGCATGACGAGAAAGCCAAGAAGACACAAGAGACCCGACAAAAGCAGGAGGATGCACGAGTCGAGGTGCGTGCTCGTCGTCAGCAGAACGGCCGTACAGGTATGAAATTCGTGAGTGCCTTGAGCTGCCAGAAGCTCCCTGTTCTTCGTGACATTGCCTGGAGCTTGGAGCTACCAGAGGATGGTAAGAAAGACCAGCTTATTGCCCGCATTAAGGCCTACTTTGACAGGGACGAGAACTCGGTGCTTCGTAACAACAATCAGTTTGCCGAAATATTCGCAACACATGGTTCGAAGCGGCGTGCAGCTGTCCTTACTCAGGAAAACACACGGAATGACAATGACAATGCAGAGCCGGGTCCTAGTCAACGACAGTTTGCGGAGCCTCTTACCAATGCACTCTCAACTCCTGCACCGTGGCAGTACAATCCACTACCATATGCAGGCTCAGCACAGTGGCCGGCACCATATGGCACACCATACGGTATGCCGTATATACCTCAGTCCTCTTTTACAGTGTGCGAGCAGCCTGTGTCAACAACAGCTCATGAAGAGTCACACACTCCTGTACCAGCTCTTACATACCCTCAGTATTCCTTCTCTCATGTACCATATGGACCTCCATATACTCAGAGCTAGCTTTAAATCAAATACATTTATTGTTTTCCATCTGTGGCACAAGCTTGAGCTGCAATTGCAGAACCGGTGAGCGTGAGCGGAGTTTGAACGAAAAAGGAAGCGGCACCACGGCAATGTGTGACGTTGTGTGACCGATAATGCAATCTGGTGGGCAAACGACACCTCTCGCCGCGTTCACTCTCAGCATCACACAACATCACCGAAAAATTTGAGCATTGCGGAGGAGGTAGTTTATATGTTGCGCTTTCATTTAAAAAAAAATTCAAGCAAATTGGGCTTGGTTTGAAGGAATGGTGCTAGAGTTGCAATCGTGATTGCAGAACTGGGGTAACGATAGTAACCTTATTCATAACTCTAATAATTGCATATTGCCTGACAAATATAGATATAGGACAGTATGCTTGCTAGAGTCTGCAAGTGCCCTCAGAATGTGAAGCTCTGAGAATATCTGATAATTGCATTCAGAGGTCTGGTTATACACCAAACCTTATAATAGACAGTGTTGTTGGCATCCTCCACAATGTGTTCCAGCATGCCATCTCATTTCCAGACACTATAACCCTTCAAGTTGAAACCTATGAACATACTCAAAGTTATAAGTTATCTCAAACCACTCACCCTGGTGATATTGTCAGATATGTAATGCTTACCTTAATTGTATACAGATAACTTCTTGATATAAGTAGCCAAGGCCAGACAGACCTATAGTTCATATCAAAATAATAAGAAAGTTAGAGTATTGATAAGGCCACTACAACTCTTGAAGCCTCTAAACATACTTAACAAGATGGCAATTAGTGTCTAGCATGGGTATTCCATGGGTCTGACAAGGTATACCCACACCCATACCCACGGAAAACTCATACCCATCACATGGGTATGGGTTTTCTGTGGGTTGGGTATGGGTCAGCTATGGGTCTGTATGGATTGCAGTGTGGGAGTCATAGTACAATAGTAGTATGCATGTCTTTGTGTCGTCACCTGCCATGCTTTCAGAGTGATGAGATGGGTCTTCTGAGCTATGTGTGATACCAGGTTTGAATTACCTCATAGAGGTACCATACAGTTATGCCACCACCACACTGCTGAAACCCTATGTTTACAACAAACCCATAAGATGGCCCATGAGTTTCCATGGGTTACTCACTGCTGACCCACACCCATACCCATGGATACCCATACTTACAACCCATGTGAGTTAGTAATACCCATGCCATACACTAATGGCACTACTTATAAGTTATCTCAATCAGCCCACCATGATAACTATCACCAGGTTTGTAATGCTTGCCTCAATTACATAGAGATAAATTCTTGATATAAGTGGCCAAGACCAGACAGACCTATAGTTCATATCAAAATAACAAGAAAGTGAGAGTATTGATAAGGTCACTATAACCCTTGATGTCTTTAAACATACTAAACAAGATGATAATACTTATAAGTTATCTCAATCAGCCTACCATGATTATTATCACCAGGTTTGTAATGTTTGCCTCAATTACATAAAGATAACTTCTTGATATAAGTGGCCAAGACCAGACAGACCTATAGTTCATATCAAAATAACATGAAAGTGAGAATATTGATAAGGCCACTATAGCTCTTGAAGTCTCTAAACATACTTAACAAGATGGTAAGACTTATAAGTTATTTCAATTAGCCCACCCTAATAATTTATCATGGGGTTTGTAATGCTTGCCTCAATTACATAGAGATAACTTCTTGATATAAGTGGCTTTACTCTCTGTGCTAATCAACTATAAACAGATAGCTTATTTCCATATTTAATCAGGCTGTCAACCTCATAACATGCTTACAGCATAGCTTAATAGATGCAATGAAGGACATTGATAATTAGACTTCAAAAATCTGAGGTGTATTGAGTGTAATAGTCTGGAGGACTAGCTTGCTAAAGAATCAACATTAGAGAAGGTATCCCACAAGTTATGCCCAATCCTATACTGCTATTTGAGAATAATGAGGAACCAAACATAAATAAAGAACATGGAGGACTTTAGGTCAAATGGGGATGGTAGGAGATACTAGACTGGCCATTGAGATGAGAGCTAGTCCCCGATCTATTTGCGCATGCAGCTGCTTTCAATGCAGCGCATTTTTTTCTAATTTTTGCCAGAGCACTGTCCTTTGATACAGGCCTCCGTGCAGTGGAGAAATTTGGGAACACTTGACTAGATGCACCTTCAGTAGAGGATTCCATAATCATTAGCACATGCTAGACTTACCGATTCTACCAAGTAATCAATTCAGATACTTCAACTTGCTCGTCGAGATCCTCAAATAAATTGAGAATCGACATGTAAAAGCACTCCGAGTCAGTAGCCATGTCCGTTCTTGAGAACACAGGTGAGGAAGACAGAGCAAATTGAACCTGTTAAGGGCAATTAGAGAAGGTGAAACGGAGGATAGCTAAAGTCATACCTGAGTGGCAACATATGCAATAGAGGCACCTGTAACCTTGGTCATCCCATGGATACGTGCATTTTCAGCACGGGTAGCTTTGGGCTCCTTGTCAACAGAACTGGGAGATGTGAAGATATGTTTGTATGTCTGAATCATTGCAACTAATTCAGCAATAATGATATAGACTTGGAAGGTAATTGATTGACTTACTGTGATAAGAAGAGCACTACAAAATAGACCATTCCATGGATCTTCTGGATTATAACTGTAATTGCGATACAGAAAAATAGGCCATTGATCCCCTGAGATCACTGTTTGCCCATCTTGCAATAGCTGCTTGGTCCTAAGTTCATCGCTGAGGAAAGAATCTTCGAGAATCTCCATACACTAAACACGCACTCTTCATTGGACTAGTCCATGCCAGCTGGACACAAGAGGTATCCGGTGCATTCATGGTGAAACTCACGATCCACCTTCACATTACGAGACAGGGGTGGATTCAATGATTGGCCCTTAGGAGTGATCCAATCCAAGATGGCCCTCTTCAGGCTCTTCGTGTCGTCAGATCTCGCACTCACAGCACCCTTCTGTATCTAAGAAAGATCAGTATATCCTGTCTCTGGATGTGGGCTTTGCTCACCAGACTAGACACAATAGCAACTTCTTCCTCTGAGCTACTCATGAGACACTCTTCAAGGCCAGGAATTGACTGAAGAAGCATGGTAAAAACCCTATGTTCTCTCCTCTCCCTGTCATCACCTATTAGTGAAAAGATAGAAGCTAACATACAGAAGGGTGCAACGGACTCATTGGTGAATGATTCTTCAGTGATGTCAGTTATGAAAGATAATCTTTTCTATCAATAAGTAGCAAATTTTCATGAGAATTGCTACTTTTAAGTAGACTTATCTGTAAGTGCATAGATTAATTTAGGATAATCTTAATATAATCTTCCAGATAATCTGAGGATAATCTTCTGGATAATCTGAGAATAATCTGAAGATTAGCAATAAAATACAATTTTAACTTTGACACCAGCCAGGATTGAACCCTGGACCTTAGGTTGATTTTATAGAATATAATTCCAAGTGACACTTTAGACCACTTGACCATTAGGCCATACATCACAACTATCTTATATTAAATTAGACATCTTTTTATTGAAAAAGACAGCCAAATTCTGTCTATTAGAAAAGAGTAAGTAAAAGACACTTGACTTTTATCATAGATAGACAAGACTTATAAACAAACATTACTCTGAGTCTTATAGTCTTTTCTAATGCTTGCAGCCTTCATATAATGTAGTACAATATGTAATTAATAGAATATATGTTTCTACAGTTACTTCAGCAAAACAGAACTTTGCTATACAACTAGAAGATAGCTATAAAGATCTTGTATATATAAGTGCTCAGTCTATAATATAATAGACTCTAGAGTATAAGCCTAAAATGAACAAATAAAATACTGTCTCTCAATAACTTGTTATATATTATAGATGACTATATTAAGATACTCTATAGTACTGCATGATAGTTTACAAAAACTGTAAGCTGTAGAACAAGACTATAATAAGATGCAGAGTACTGTTTGTCTATAAGGCTTGTCTATCTATGATAAAAGTCAAGTGTCTTTTACTTACTCTTTTCTAATAGACAGAATTTGGCTAAGTCTTTTTCAAGAAAAAGACGTCTAATTTAATATAAGATAGTTGTGATGTATGGCCTAATGGTCAAGTGGTCTAAAGTGTCACTTGGAATTATATTCTATAAAATCAACCTAAGGTCCAGGGTTCAATCCTGGCTGGTGTTAAAGTTAAAATTGTATTTTATTGCTAATCTTCAGATTATTCTCAGATTATCCAGAAGATTATCCTCAGATTATCTGGAAGATTATATTACGATTATCCTGAGTTAATCTATGCACCTACAAATAAGTCTACTTAAAAGTAGCAATTCTTATGAAAATTTGCTACTTATTGATAGAAAAGATTATCTTTCATAACTGACAAAGATGGAAAATGTATAATGCACTAGCTTCCACCACAGATCGTTCTCATCATGGTTCTACTCGACTACATGCAGACGTCACAGATGCTGTGAATATCATGCTTTGGGCCGCAACTTCTGCAAGTGGCCGGCCAGGCTTTGCTCTCTGGCATCTATTCCTTGCAGTAACCACACCTGCACTAGATCGTGCACTGCAAACAGAATATGGTCTACAGAATCCAATCTACACTCACAGTGTGTACTGGACACCAGACATGCTGGAATGCCTTGCCACGAAGTACGGCATCCGTGTAATTACTGTTCACCAGTACCCTGGTCAGGCTGTTTTTATACCGGCCGGCTGTCCCCACCAGGTACAATTCTTTTCACTTTGCCTTCAGTGATGTTCACCTATTCTGCTTAGGTTTGCAATATGTTGGATGCCATAAAAATTGCCTGTGACTTCTTCTCTGTAGAGAACATAACCCATACACAGCATCTCACAAAGGAACTTCATCAACAGAGACTAACAAGTGGGTCAGGTGATGATGTCCTTCAATTCTACACTACACTTTGGTACACATGATTGTCATTAGCACTGATGCAAGAGGTGTTATCCAGCAGATTGTCTGGCACCACTTCCATCCATCATCTAACAACTCCTTTGACCAGGGTGGAGCTTCCTCTTATTCTTGCAGACAACCTCCCTCTTCACATTGATACTGGTGATGCAATGCCTGTTCATGTGACTGAAGAGCTTGGAATGGAATCTAACATTGTCGACAATGGCGTAGCACTTTATCGGAAGCAGGAGAGAAGAAAGATCAAACACCGTGCTCAGAATGAAGCTCGAGCATTTGGAGAATGACCTCGCAGACCAGGGAGTGATTTTCCTTGTATCTTTGCCTCATTCTGCAAGGGATTCTTTCATAGAAGTGGCCTGATTAATCATCTGTAAGCTTCTGTGCCCTTACAGTATACTTTCACTTACATTAACTGTTGCAAGACGATCAAAGCATGCTGATAGTTTTACTATTAATCGAGTAAATGAGGTGGAGCTTCGTGAACCTAAGAAAGTCTCTGATGCTGAATTCATGCAATGTCTTCAGCAGTTTACTCATGGCCTTTCCAGTCTTGGTATGTGTTTATTATCACTCTCTCTTCGGTTTCTCCTTAATATTGTGATACACTGCAGATGCTTAGCATTGTGCCAAGTTTCTCGGAGGTGGAGATATTGATCTCATTCAGTCCAAATTGGTTGGGAATGGTGCCATAGTGATGGGGCTTGAATTTTATTGCTATCCTCAAGTTTATGTGATTGTGATATGCATACATAGCATAAGTTGACCCAGCAAGCAGAACAACACTATCAAAGATGGTGTGTGACACACAATGCTCACCTGCCACTCTCATCTCTGTGGGTGACATCCAGTCCACTCAGTTCTTCCCAATCCTTCATCCTAAACCCATACCTGAATGATGGCACTACTTTAGTCAACTTTGGAGACTTATCTTTGCATGGCTGAAGCCCTAGGACTCCAGCAAGCTAGAACTTCTCTTACAAGCACTACAAACATTACAACGGAATTAATGCAGGCTCTAAACATTAAGTTTCAAGTTATGTTTGCTGTAACATATGAGCCCTTAGAATGTTGGTCCAGTAACAGAGCATTATAGAATTAGTGTAGGCTCTGACCACCACTCTCAAGTTGTGCTTGCTGTAACACAAGTTCTCAGAATGTTGGTCCAGTGACAATACATTATAAAATTGGTAGAATTAATGCAGGCTCTAACCACTCAGTCTCAAGCTGTGCTTGCCGTAACATGAGTTCTCAGAATGTTGGTCCAGTGACAGCTCATTATAGAATTAGTGGAATTAATACTGGCTCTGACCACTCAGTCTCAAGTTGTGTTTGCTGTAACATGAGTTCTCAGAATGTTGATCCAGTGACAGTACATTATAGAATTGGTGGAATTAATGCAGGCTCTGACCACTCAGTCTCAAATTGTGCTTGCTGTAACAGAAGTCCTTAGAATGTTGGTCTGCTGACAGTACATTATAGAATCAATGGAATTACTGCAGGCTCTGACCACTCAGTCTCAAGCTGTGTTTGCTGTAACAGGAGTCCTTAGAATGTTGGTCCAGTGACAGCACATTATAGAATCAATGGAACCATCATTAATCTCAGAGCATACATGATAATGAATGCAGACATCTGCCAACTTCTCGACGGTCATACAGCTGTAGACTTGAACAGGCCATATGCAGACAGGAGTTTCAGGATTCTTGCCATGTCTCTCAAAGACTGATTCCATCTGTACAGTTTGAAACCGGACCTAATGATAATCAGACATCAATTTAATATATTGAACACCTTGATCGGCAGCTCTCGGCATGTAGCCTATTTATCAACTCCGCATGGTCATGCCAGAGCCTCCCCGATTTCCTGATGTGAGTGTTCAGGTACATCGCTTAAGACTGTGGTGCCGTTATTGGCTGAATAGCAGCAATGGATGCAGGCATTCTAACTTCCCCCACCTTCACGCATCTGTGCGGTCGTTCTCCGACCCGGGGCGCAGCGATCCTTTTCCTATATAGTTCCCCAGACTGCAGTGAGTGCTTGTCAAACAGGTTTCTGTTAGATTAGATAATCCATCAGTCTCTTATGTGTCTAGACTCAAAGCAATGCAAGATGCTATACACCTAGATACCTATTGATCGGGCTGCGCTATGCACTGCTACATCAGGAAAACCCCACTTTTCCTTAAAGACCTTTGGCTCTGAAAACCCTTATTTAAGGCTATAAGTTCTCAAATAAGTCTCAATAAGTTGGATTTCAGGCACTTAATGTAATATGGCTTATGCCCTTTTTGTCCTTATTTCCTTAAATAAGAACTATAAGTCTGTTTAAGGCAGTTAAGTGTTCTCTTAAGAGAAAGTTGGGTTTTCCTGATGTATGTGGAAGCTATGCATAGCTATGCCTGCCTATGTTCATAGCCACAATCCTGTGTTACTCACAGGTTTGTATAGCCACACTCTAGGTAGATATAAACCCCCTAGAGTCCACTCTGACTCCCCAGTGACTCACTTCTGGACTCTAGCTGTGTTGCCCAGCTCTTCTGTCCCGCTATTTGAGTCCCCTACAAAGTCTGCATATTGCAACTTTATTAGTTTCACCCCATGGTCAACTACGCTCAGCTTGAAGGCATCCACTCCCTCACAGCCGCAATCATCTTTGCGATCATTTATGTTCCGCTTTTGGCTTTCTACCTCTTCAAGAGTGTTCGCAGGCCGACATATGTTCATCTCGTTCTGTCATTTTTCTGCCTCGGTGATTACAATATGGTTCTCAATCTACTCGTGGTTAACACTTAGTGGTCCTTCTACCACAGTTCGTATAGTAGCATTTTCGCTACGCGCCGCTCTCGCAGGATCAACCTCGGCAGGATCAAATCTGAACCTATACATTGCAGCGCAAATATTATACAACGTAGGTTTCTTCGGAGTGCTCTACTCTTCATATACCCTCGTTCTTGACCGGTGAGTCACATCTGTCTGGTATCTAATGCAAGCATTGATGTCTGGTGGATTAAGTGAACTTCTGGCAGACACGGATGGCGTTTTGGCCTATGCGCCTGGACCCGTGAGGCTCGTCGTCCGTATAAGTCGGGACCGCCATTTGATCCGGATTATACTCCTCGTCGCAATTGTTCTTGGTATCGTTGGCGCGGTATGCGTTTTTTGCAAGCACTATGATCGATTATTTCGCTGATTCATGTTTGTTCTGCCCTCCTTCACCTCTACCGTTGTAGACCAAAATATCTTCAGGAAGTTCAGCCGCTACAATTAATTCTGGGGAAACCCTCCGCAGCTCAAGTATCTATATATTCATTTCCGTCGCTTCGCTGTTGGCCTTTCAGACTATCGTACTTGCAATCTCTGACATTAAGTGTCAGTTTTTCCACTTGAGTGTGCATGGTACTTGTCATCAGACTAACTTTGTCTTGTTCAATGTAGCACCCAGATACGCTGCGGGCGATTCGGGCTACGGCTTCCAGGCCTCTTTCGGAGCAAAGTATGGCGTCTTCGTCCTTCTCATCGTCTCCATACTCTTGCTCCTACGAGAGGCATTCTTTGCTGCGACGGCCCACAACCTCTCTCAGGTATTGTCTTCACTGCTGCTTTTAAATGGCGATCACGTCTGACGTTGCGTTGTTAGCAAAACAATGAGCATCTGTGGTATCCGCTCGCCGCGCTTTCGGAGCTGCTCGCTGTGATGCTCATAGGTGTTCCCGGACTTGTGCCTGCGCGAAGCGAGCTACCCAAGCAAGAAAGCATTGGCATGGTGCGGAGGTTTGTTGGAAGGGGGAATGATGCGTGAGGCTTCCAACGCAGTTCGGCTCATCTATTTTGACGAAACGTTATGACCGAGACAAAATTCCACTGATTCCCTTGTATTTTTCCGCCGGAGAAATGGATTCCTACTCTATGTACACAGCATTGCCACCAGTTTTAGCACGCTTTCCAATTGTTTATTTAATGAACACTCGAATAGTCTCACACAAACTGAAGCTGCTGTTTGACCGCAACACCAGTGCATAGGTGCAATTACTACATTCTTTGACGCAGGTATTGTTTATTCCAGCAAAATGAACATCTACCAGAGACCGAACGCGCCAAGAGAATGCATAGTAGCAGAACTATAAGTCACTCCCGGTAAGGAACTGCCATTGGAAGAGCCTTCACCGGGGTCCTGGAAACCAGGACATGGAGGCGACGTAACGATTCCCAACGCAGAGCCGAGACCTTGCACACGGCCTTGGGTATCGAAGCTCACAAGATCTTTCACAGGGGATGAGACCATCTGCGGTCGACAGTCAGTCTTTGGCTCCCGGTGCTCGGTGCTCTGGGAGGCTTCTCCCGTGGATCGCTTTCTTCCCGAGTGTGGTGAGGACAGGACAAAAGACGTGGTAGGGAAATTGGAGGGGCACGCGTGAAGGAGCTTTTGCACGATGGACGCCATTGGCCAGGTCACCTGAAGACGATCGTTAGATATGCCAGACGAGAACTGACAGGGAGCAAATCGACCTCGACTTTCCGTAGGGCGGTGAGATTGTGTCTCAGCCGAGTACCACCCTCCGTAGTGTGGTGCGACAGTTTTGCTGCAAAAACTTCAGTAACTATGTTGGGTGAAGGAAGCAGCACCGTACAGAGCATCAAATCAACAGCCCTAGACAGACGGGACAACCGCAATGAGTCGGGAAATGAAATGAAAGAAATAAAGAAGGCCACACTAACCCCGCCGCCAAGATGTATCCAGGAAGAAAAGCAGAAGCAAATTTCTCCCACTGCTTCACGAAGACCGTAACTACGAGTAAATTAACCTGAGTATTAGACAGAAAGAGCGATTGATACAGACCTATTGACGATATATGACCCGCGGCGTCTTGGCACGCAGTGCAGGCCTGCGATGGCCGGTCTCCCGGGCGGAACATGCATTTCATCCAAGAGTCGTAAATACTGCGACTGAGTGAGCAAGTGCGCATGTTCAGAAAAGGAGAAAAGAACCGACAACACTCGGTGTAGTAAGATGACGGCCCACCAATAGTGCAACTGCAGTTCGAATATGCATGGCGCAGAATGCACATTGACTGTGGCAAGATTGAAGTTGAGCAAAGAGGAGGTTGACTCCATCCATCCAGAGAGCTTGTCTTCCAGCCGTTTGGCGCGGAAGTACAGCGTCGAATCAGCAGGTCGATCAATTGGGTAAAGTTCGTTTGCAATTGAACCGACGATTACAGCTGTCCAATGAGTGAGATTCAAGGACATTGATAAGTGTCATTGAACTCACACAGAGCGCAAGACGCATTAAAGCACGATAACACAACATTTTCGTTCACTTCTTCCGGCTGAAGTGCTAAGTTACCGGGCGGAGAAGGATTAAGTACTGGGCCTCGGCCTGTCGACTACGATCCTTGGGTGAGCTACAGCCGAGTGCGATAGAACCAAATATGCTAACTTCTGGGATGTCTACTAGCGATATGTCAAATTGTCCATCGAGAATCATGGAGGGTCGACCTAGAACGAGCAGGTGACGACGTAATATCGCTGGTGGAATGAACCAATACTAACCGAGAAGTACAGAAACGAATCTACGCGCATAGCACGTTAGTCGCTTCGATATCGTAAAAGAGGGAATGGCAATGGTACCTGTCGGCGATTACGCAACCAGCCCACAGTTGTTGCCGCGTCTCTTGTTCGAGCGACGTTACCAGGCCGAAGCTTGCAGAAGCCAGTTCGCCCACCCTGCGATGCAAGCCCAGAGAATATGCCTACACGCAATGTCAATATTTGACATCGATCAAAATCCGCCCCTTACCATGCGTACGGCCATACCTGCAAACATTGATGAGTACATCGGCCCTCCACACTTGAACAGGCTCACCAATGTAGGTCCATGCATCTTCCGCCTCACCTGATAGTCAAAAGTGACTCTGAAATTATTTAGACATGACCGAAGATCTCCACATACCAATCCCAAAGCTGCGATAACCAAGGAGTAGAAGCACTTGACACAGCAATGGACTAGATATCCCAGAGACGGTACCTGGAAAATGTCAGCCATGCAATTTCCCCCACGGCCGTTATCTATCGCCTACCCAATAATCTAACAGCCTCGGCGGCGTACTCGTCACTATCACGGTTTCCTCCCGGAATATCCAAGTACCTTGCCGAGATAGAGAAAATGCAGAGTAGTAGGACCTCGAAGGCCTTAAGCGTAGGATTGTGAGAATTATACGGTCCCTTGATGAAACTGAGAGAAGAAGTTGAAGGTCGACGGACTACAATCAACAGGTTACTCACGAGTTGAACCTGTTGCCATTCAAGAGCAGAAATTCGCAAGTTGAGGTTGCATATAGATGTACAGAAGCACTTACTTTTCGTTATACAGCACCATGAAGTATGTTCGATTGATCACCGGGTACATCGGGTGAACATAGTTGAAGAAATAGTGAACTAATATGTTTTGTTGCTGATCCATAAGAGGCTGAAAGAGTGAGGGAGCGGCAGCAGGACCAAATGGCAACGACCCTATAGTTGATGGCCATGAAAGTTCACTGCGGAATGTGTGTGCATATGGTCGTGACAGCACTGGTCTTAAGGACTCACAAGGGCTTTCCATTATTGTTGGCGAGGAGCTGACAATATTGCGATAGTGTGTGCAGTCCGCTCGTAGGATGGATGATGCGCAGCTACGAGATATCAAGGACAGCTCATTGTCAAAAATCGAAGTGAAGTAAACTAACCTGCCTATCACGATCGATATAGACGTCTTCTGTTCTAATGGAGACCCTGGTTGTAGAGTCTTCGGATAAAGCTGACTCACCTGTTAGATAGTGTTGAGGGATAAAATAAGAAGCACTGCAACATACCACCGATCTTTTCCAGTCTCGCGAGATCCCAACCGGTTTGCTCCCCTTGAAAATGCGACCAGGACGAGCCAGAACATACCGGAGAAGTCAAAGAAAGTGACTCGGTGTGACTCTGGGAAGACGATGAATATCCCCTTCCCATCGAGCTCTCATGCGAAGAGCCGCTTCCTGATGCGCGCAGAACATGGTATAGACAGTCTTGCCAATTGCTACTCGGACTGACTAATGCGCCGACATCTGGAAGCGCATAAACGAAAGACCATCGAATGTCTGCAATAACACAACCAACCTGCTTCAGGACTTCGGTTATCGGGCCGGAAAGAGATTTCAACACCATTCATTATTGATGCGAGAAAATCTTCCTTCGTTGAGCCAAAGCTAGGGTAACCAATTAGTGAGATTCAGGTGAAGGAACTATCTGACTCACGGGTGAGCCACGCGACCTCTGGGACCAAACGGACCAATTTCCACTCGGTGAATGATTTGGCGGGCAAGATCATCCTGAGATAGGTCTTGCACAAGGCTGCGAGCGCGGAGATCGTCAGAACCGATAATCGTCCCAAGCAATGCTTCGACTTGGTGCAAGCGTCTTTCAATGGCAAGAATGTACCTATGATGTAGATATAAACACGAGTGCACCTATCACAACGATGGGCGTTACTTACCCTTTAGGCGGTCCTCGTTTGTGACTCGGACCTGAGAAGAACTTTGAAGATGTGACATATTTTGGCGTATCTGCGGCACCTACCGACATATGTACAAGCTGACGCCGCAGCGTGTCAGTGAGAGACTAAACTGATCAACAACACACACTTACAAAGACCTAGAGATAGACACCCGCGGCAGGATTGTTGATCTAACGCGGATGCTCCACGCTCGCACTTGCTCTTGGAGCGGCGACAATGATCACAGGCTGAGGAACCTCAATTCAAATCCAGAAAACGCTGGCTGATAGAGGTCAGGTCATTACCTCTGGTACTGCGGCGTCGTGCGCTTGGATCCAGGCTATCCTGCCGTTCTGGGGGAATGCGCAACCTCTCATCGTCGGAAGACGGACCAGTCATGGTGTTGTCGGGAAACATCGACGCAAGGGGCTCTACTCGCAGCGTGTGGGACCGCAGAGTTATATGGGCGTACTAGCCAACTTGTCGGGATCGGCAACGTCTTCGTGACGCTTTACTCTTCTGCTCCACACGATGATAATGCATGTTGCTGCAAGCGGGAGTAAGTACTCCTCGAATGGGCATAGAGTTTAGCGCTGCCTAATTAATTGATTTAATGTACCGCCTCAGCGAGAGAACGCGAGGACGAGAATAGAGGGCAGGACATCCAGTTGGGGAGGATCGACGTCACCACGTCGTCGTAGCTTTCCAATTATACCCTACAAATGCTGAGCTAACAGCGGCCCTGGGCTGGAAAATAACGTCGCTCCGACGCACAGAGAAACGGGGAGTGGCTTCAAAGCTTCAACGGTCAAGCTGCAACGCACATATGATATCCATGACGTCGATCGCCGGCTAACTTCGAGTAATGCTGACAAATATTTTGCATGTCCAACAATAGTGTTTTCTACTTTGGATCCAATCGGTCTGATAAGTCGGCACCTGATGATATTGGTGGCAAGCAGGAGCATGCCGGCATCACAGCTGCTCCACTTGGAATCAACAACGAATGCGACCACGGGTCCAGTATGAGCCGTCATAATGCAGAGGGTCTGGACCAGACAAGCAGACAAGAGATATAGACCAGACAAGAGATAGGGACGATGTTCACGAAGCTCGCGGACCTCGAGACGGCCCGTCAGACTTGAGGACGGCTTCCGCCACGAGGGCGACCACGAACGACTTCAGGCGATCCGATTGCAATCCAGTACATGAGTTGAGTAGAGGATGCAGGCTGCTTGTATGTCCGGTAAACGCGAGAAAAGTATTCGTATTCGACAATTAAAAGGATATTGGAGCAGCTTCCGAGAAGCTCAAGCATCAGCAAAAGCGGGAAATTTTTATGTAAGGTTACACCAGTTACATCGGGGTAGCAAGCGTTGTGTAAGTTACACAGGACTAGTGATGTTTAAACCAATTTGTAATCAAAGTAAAGGTAGTAGAGGTCTATAAAGAAGATTACATAGAATAGAAATTGATACACAAGTTATAACAAAAATACATGTTGGCAAAGAGTTGTCGAGCAATGTAACCCGAGTCAAACGTTGCTCACCAGGTTACACAGTCGGAAGAACTTCTAGACACTAAATATAATGTTGTAAGGAGCGCCTATTGGGCGTCTACTAGCGCTCTCTGCAGAACTCGCTCCGAGTTGGCTCTTGCGTCGCGTTTTAGTTTTCAGGCCCCCGAATACCGCACCAAATGCGAGCATTGAGGCAAGGCTCTCGTCCAGGCCCTCACAGCGAAAAGATCCGAAGCCGTTTCGAGGCAACTCGGAGGCAAGTCTGAGGCTAATCTCGATGCATCGCGACTACCATCCGCTGACAATCCTCGCCACCCTCACTCGCATATAAATTCGCAGCCTCTGCCAGATGCCCGCCAGGTGAGTGTTGTTACTCGCAGCTAACTATATTCCACAGGTCTACCAGGTTCCTTGTTGCGTGTGCTTGATCGGGCTCTCGTGGTTGGAGCGACTCGCATAGTGCGTTCTATTTCAATTTCTACTGTTTTATGCCTCTGGGCGGACGTGTAGTGTATGTTGATTTCTAGCATTGGTTGTTACGGCGGTACGCGGGTGTTGGCGCGGTAAGTAGGCCTAACTACTTGTTTGTTATGGTGGCACGCGGGTGTTGTTACTGCGGTAAGTGGACGTTACGGCGGCACGCGGGTTTTGGAGCTTGTAAGTAGGCCCAACTAGCTCTAATGTAGAGCACTTTGTCCGTCGCTGCAGTAATAATAATATGTTGACATAATTAATTTGGAATACTCCCACTTTTGAGAATTATCAAACCGATCTGAATGAATCGGTTTCGGTCTGTTTAGGACAGTCTGAATGTAGCGTGTAATAAATTTTGTAGGAAGTTATATGAGCTTCATAACCTGTAGAATGTTTCCAGAGTTTATAACTGATTATGCCAGTTGGCAACTCTGCAATCTGACTCAGGATTACAATGCAATGTATTCCTTGGTGAAAAAATTGCGCAAGTTACATGGAATTACACCTTTATAATCTCTTTGGAGAAAATTCCCGGTTTTGCTGATGAGCTCGTGGAACGCCGCGGCGGCGAAGTGCCCAAAAAGAACTAGCGCGGTATTCAAGATTCCCTTTTTCAGCGCACAGAGAAGTGACACCGTTCGTCCCCTTCGTGACGCAACGAACGAGCCTATCTGACCTCTTTCCTGCATGCGAGACAACCACAGAATTTGTTGAACATCTTGCTTTCATAACAATGGATCGCGAAGTTCAGCAGCTCGTCGAGATGGTGCGGTGGAACGCATTCGTTCCAACTATGCCCGACTTTGCTAATTGTGGCTGGCCGCAATGCTTACAGGGTGCCACAGTGGCGCAAGCACGAGCTGCGCTGGAAAGATACAAGGATGTCATGCAAGCAGCAGAGCGTATCTTTGATGGCAGTTTTGATCACATCATCGACGACGGAGGTGCATCCGAGTCGAGCGCACCCGCTCGTCCTAAGCAGAATGCCAACAGACCAATTGTACGTAGTTCCACGGCAGACGTTATTTCTTACTGACAATGCGGGTCAGACACCGGACGATGCCGAAGGTGAGGACGAGGAGGTAGATGACGGGAATGAGGACGACGAGGGTGAGTGATCGACACGCTCGCACGTCGTCCATGACTTAAATGCACGAGTTCAGATGAAGACTACGTGGACTACGACTCAGACTACGAGGATAAGGTTACGGGCAGAAGCAATTCGAATGCGGATCCTTATGCAGGTTCGCTTATTCTCCTCGACTTTCTGATTCGTCCGTTCACAGTCTTTCAGGCATCTTCTTCTCGAAGGACAGGCGTGAAGAAGTAATCGAGGTGGAGGAAGAACCTGAAGTGGCCATGGTTCCAGATGTCAACGAGCAAGCAACTCTCATGAATCAAGGACAGTGGATGAAAGGCTGCCCAGAAGGAGGAGAGCAAAGCTTCCTATTCAGCCTGTATCAGGAACTCAGCCAAGGCGAATGTCGGTGCCCGCACGGCTGTGGTCAATCTATTCCCAGGCAGAAGCGCGATTTCTTCACTATTTTTGTGAGTTGTCGAGTTGTCACTTGAAAGCTAATAGTTCATGCGGCACTCAGGCGGAATTCCCTACCTATATCATTCATTTACGGAACATTGTTCCCCGTACTTGTACCAAATGTACGAAGACTTTTTGTTTTGCGTGCGGAGAACCTACAACCCCAGATCATCAGAAGGCCACTTCGAAGGAAGACGATGTGTTACTCCATTGTTCCAATCTGCAGGGCGTTATTCTTGGTGTCGGGCTTGCCATGCTAGAGAAGACGTATGATGACCAGGATCAGGACGTGACAAGCGACGAAACGAACAAGGCAACAAACGGCAAGAGACGCAAGGTCCAGGTAGCTCCCGCCCCAATCCTGCAACACGAGTTCGACGATGACGATGATGAAGATTATCCTCCTATGGTCCAGGGAAAGAAGGCGAAACTGGGTGTAGGCTACGCCGGAGATGTCAGAGAGGATGTAAGCATCTTCTTACTGGCGGCTACATTCACTGCTCAGTGTATTCGCTACCAGGTTTCTGGACAGTTGGAGGCACTAGCTCTGCAACGCACGAAGGACGAGAAGCTTGCTCAGCTTCTGTCAAATATCCGGATCTATCTTCCTTCTCTTTATCGAGACGGTGGTGGCCGAACGAGTGATTACCTCGTCCATCCGACAACCCTTGCACACCTTCGTCGGCGGTTCAACCTCGTCAGCAGTCGGCTTCTCCGCAATGACTCACTGACAGACATGTCCGACCGTTCGGTACTGTACATCGAGCTCTTCGAATGGCTTGAGGTATGATTTCATTACTGCCAGTCGGACTTGGCGATTGATGTAATATGCTTCAGACAGTCTCGTGTCATGAAGCATTAGCTAGCATGATGGCCATGCCAATCATGGTTGCTACGCAGAAGGAAACGAGGAGAGGATCTCCAAGGGGAAGTTCTCGGATACGCGAACGTTCAATCGTCTACGAAGGCAGTTCAGGTCCCCGGGAGCTCCTCGAAGCCATCGTCATCCAGGCAAAAGCTGCCCTAAAGGGACTCGAGGGGTTGAAACTGTCACAGGACGTGGAGATGACGGAAGAGGAGAAGCGGAGAACGGGCAACGAGAAGGGCAAGGCGGCCGATCCCGGCCGTGCTGTCTCAGAGGAGAACATGAAGCTGCTCAGGTTCTGCCAGCGTATCTTGGGCACTGCCAAGGCGATAGATCGCTCGCTAGTCGATACCAAGGGTGATGCATTCGTCAAGAGGCTCCACGCCAGTCTGCCAAAAATCCCGAACTCGGATGATGACGATACATGGGTCGAGGCTGGTGAGACCGAGGAGAGTACGGTTAAGGCATACGAAGAGTGGGCAAGCCGAGTACGGTTCGAGTACTGCGACCTTACAATACCACCGTTAGAAGCTCCGGGACAAGACGATGACGACGTACCGCACTATAAATTTTACTACAACAATGAAGCTCGGATGCTGGCGAATTCCGACATTCCAAAACGTTCCCTCGCTATTGCGAAAGAAGTACAGTGTTCCTTGCCATTTGAGATGTGACGATGGACTAACCGTTCGGCAGCTCGCAGTTCTTACTACTAACTTGCCCGTGGACTGGAACTCCTCCATATTCATGCGCGTAGACGAAACTCGTGTAGATGTCATCAAAGTGCTTGTGACGGGTGCAGACGGAACGCCGTGCGAATCTTCTTCATCCCCTCACTTACAGCTTGACTGACTTGGTCACGCGAATTAGCTATCATAACGGATGGTACGCGTTCTCTACTATTCTGCCTTTCCGTGTATTTCTCAAGGGGACAAAGTTATCTTTTCGATGTATTCCTAGGCGCCGCGTATAACCAGTCTCCACCGATGGTTAAGTACATGACTGTGAGTCTAAACTCGTGCTCTCATTCTACGGTCAGACACCATGCCGATCACCTGACAGACTCATGGCGGAAAATACCGTTTCAACCCCAACTTGTACGCGGTGAGCAATGTGCCATGTTGCGCATATAGTCGTATCTGATGCTTCGTCCAGGATGGTAAAGTGTGCCTGTCGCTGCTAGGTACATGGTCAGGTCCCGGCTGGGTTTCAGGCAAGTCGACGTTATTGCAGGTAAGCATGATGCGTTTACTTTTATATATATAATGTGCAGATCTCTGACAAGACATCCAGGTCCTCGTTTCAATACAGTCTATGATTCTCTGTGAAGAGCCATATCTCAATGAACCCGGGTGGGCAAGTATGGCTGGCACCGTTCAATCAAAAGCATGCAAGTGTTTTTCCCCGGTGATGGTGAACGTGATAACTGAGGAGGTGGCTAGATTCGGCCAATGTCCGACGGATGGTCGTTAGAACTGCAGTATGCGTCGTTACTTCACACTCTGTGATTCACTTGTACTCATGCCCGCATAGATGTTGGGTAACCTGAAGAACCCGCCAGAACCGTTCGGGGATGTCATCCACACGCATTTCCGACTCAAGGCACGTTCTATCGTTGAGCAGCTCGATAGATGGCTTGCGGAAGACGATGGGAGACCCATTGGCGACGGCGGTTATTCCCCGAAAGCTGCGGCGGGCGGCAGCTCTAGCGGCTTCCAGTCAGACGTGAACGAGCTGAAGAGTCTGCTGCTGAAATTGCAGGCTGGAGAGTCCTCGTGAACGTCTTTTTGACAGCTGGTTGTTAGTGCAAAATGTTTTGCGCATCGCTGTTTTTGCATATATATTGTACCTTACGTTCATAGTCCAGTAATGAAAGACATGTCGTATTTCGCGATTAAAACCTGTCTGCATACTACTTAATCCGCGTTGAACTCACCCTTAACTTATATATACAGCTGTAAGCAGTGCGATAGAAACATGTGATATTCACGCGATTTAGCGTGTGCTGCATTAAAAGCCTGCAACGTTCGGGACCATGGGCTCCGGATTTTGTGGGACCTCTCGTCGTCAGACAACCGCAGAACCAGCGAACAGCGCTATTGTTCACCTTTTCTATCTTCTACTTCGTCTTTACGTCGCAATAGACAAGAACCTCTAATATGGTCAGCGATTCTGTCATTCATGCCGTCGCTGGTGCAGCAGGTGGCGTCGTAGCCATGACGGTTACATAGTGAGTATGTACTCGGTTCGTGTGTGGGATTGTTTTATTGAACAAGTCTGACGCGATAGCCCCCTCATCTTCCTCTCAACCCGAACGGCGGTTGAGACGAAGACGACCCACAAGGTGAACTTCCATAGAGTGGCGTAAGCCATGGCAGATCTTGACGCGCAAGCCAGTCCACGTATGAAGCCGTTGTAGACATTATAAAACGCGAAGGCGTATTAGGCCTGTACAGCGGGCTTAACTCCAGTTTACTTGGTATCGCCGTGAGCAACGGGTGAGTTCCGCGCACCATACTCAGCCTATCATGCTGATGCGTCTGCGCAGTATCTACTACTACTTCTACGAGCGAACAAAGGGTGCAATTGTCAGCGCCAGGGGCCACCGGGGAACGAAGGCACTGACCACTCTCGAGGCCATGCTCGCAGGCCTCATCGCCGGCTCCTCGACGACGATCATCAGCAACCCCATCTGGGTCATACAGACCTCGCAGGCAGTGCACACGATGGAACAGTCGCCCGAGGACCCCTCCGCCCCGCGCCCGGTCATCAAGCGCCTGGGTTTTGTTGAGACCGTCCAGCATATCCTGCGCAAGGACGGCATTGGCGCATTCTGGCGCGGCATCGGTCCCGCGCTCGTGCTTGTGATTAACCCCGTGCTGCAATACACTATATTTGAGCAGCTGAAGAACCTGCTGGTGAAGCGCCGGACGGCAAAGCTGAGGGCCGCTGGCGGTGCTGCTGCGGCCATCGCTGTACTCACAGATTGGGATTACTTTATCCTCGGTGCCCTTTCGAAACTAGGTCAGTGTTGATGGCTTTGCATGAATCTTTTCTGACACTGTGCAGTGGCGACGTCGTCCACGTATCCGTACATGTATGTGTTTTACTACCGCGAACTGGGCCTGTTTCATGACTTCTTCCGCGCAGTGTCATGAAGAGCAGACTGCAAGCGGGTCAAGCCCACGCTCTGAAGTACAAATCGTCACTGGATGGTATCCTGACTATCATTAAGGACGAAGGTATCGAAGGCTTGTACAAGGGGATTGGCAGCAAGCTCGTGCAGAGCGTGTTGACGGCAGCGATTTTGTTCATGGGACAAAGGAGAATATATGAAATCACAAAGAAGGTTTGTCCAAGTATTCCCATGAGTTGCTAATTGCCATCAATGACATATCTATCGTCAGGCCGTAACGCCTTTGGCGAACTGAAACAAAGGGGTGAAACTAGAATGTATACTGTCAGTGCCGATACATTGTGCATAATCGAGTCTCTAACGTGGTGGTTGGACCGTCCCAAATGAGCAGCCACATCCAGAGTCAACAAATTTTGAGCGAAGACTAGTACGTACACTTCATTTACAGCAATTGTTATTGAAGGGATCTTGCCTCGCGGATCTTCCTTCTGGGCTCAGGCTCTCGGCTTTCCTTGGACGATGGGAATAATTATCTCCGCAGACTCCAATGACTGGCTCGATAGCGGTAGAGTTGGGTGGAAAATAAAATAAAAAAGAACCAGAAAAAGAAAATTGCAGGAGACTGAAGAAAGACAGCGCGACAATTTTGACACCAGAGTCAATATGGGGTCTGGATTTCCGGGGTGCCGTGGACATTGGCTGCTTGAAGTTGGGTGTACTAGGGGTTCAACGTTTTGTGTACAGGTACAGGTCTGAAGCCAAAAAAACTCAGATAGTTTCTGATAGATGAAGGTCTCAAATTCAAGGCTGTAGTCATTGTGCGGCATGCAGATTTTTTGAGCAATTAGCTTACATATGCTATCCGGTCACCGGTCAGTATCCCCGGTCAAAACCCCCTCGAGCCATATCGGGTGAGACGGAGCCATATCAAGTCTCTCGATATGGCTCTATCTCCCCCGAGATTTTGGAATAATCCCTATGGCTGTCGAGGGACATAGAGGGATATCGGAAAGTGGTAGCACGAGATCATGCCAGGTAGAGCGAAATTGATTACTCTCTAGGTAGCCCTGTGTGAACGTATAGAATACGACGGGGAAAACGGGCGAAGCCGTTGGAGCGCAGCGGTACGGTTGAGTGGCTGACGAGACCGGAGAGCGGAGCTGCAGTGACACGCGGGTCAGCGGAATGCTCCAGGTGTAAGCTCTGTAATTCATACCTGCAGTGACATGCGGGTCACTGCACAGCTAGTAAGTAGCTATAGTATACAGTTAGGATGAGAATACGTACGCGGAATGCTCCAGGTGTAAGCTCTGGAGCATTCCCTACTTAATATACTGGTTAAGTAAGATAAAACTGTCTTGTCTCATAATCGCGAGACAAGACATTCGATGAGAAACAAGAACACAATAAAAGAATGAAATAGACCATGCACGTATTGTAAACGCGCCGTACAAGATCTCAATCTCAGATCGCGACACTCCCCATCAAACCTTCGAGAGTCCCATGGACGAAGCGAAGTGTTTGCACTTCATGGACGGCAAAGCTTTTGTCAGGATGTCCGCTGTCATGTCCTCCGTCGGGCAGTATGACAGCGAGATCTTCCCCTCAGCAATGGCATAGCGAATGAAGTGAAAGTGAATGTCGATGTGCTTGCATCAGGAAAACCCCACTTTTCCTTAAAGACCTTTGGCTCTGAAAACCCTTATTTAAGGCTATAAGTTCTCAAATAAGTCTCAATAAGTTGGATTTCAGGCACTTAATGTAATATGGCTTATGCCCTTTTTGCCCTTATTTCCTTAAATAAGAACTATAAGTCTGTTTAAGGCAGTTAAGTGTTCTCTTAAGAGAAAGTTGGGTTTTCCTGATTGTTGAAGGTGGGCAAGCTGGTGCCCATCTCGGAGGTTGCCGGCGGAGTTTTCCGTAGTAGATTTTGTACGCTCGCGCTGGTCGTCGTATGTCAGGAGAGAATTTTATCGTCGCCGCTGCACCGTCTGTTGCTGCTTATGCAATAGGTTATGAGCCCCGAGCTCTGACACCCTAGTGTTTGCTTCTTCCTACTGCTTACACACCCTGCTTATTCTCTTGCTGTGCATCCTCGAATCAACCGCTAGCAACGACCGGTAGTCACGCTTGCAACTGCATTTCGGCCTACACTCTCGATTTTTGGCAGTTACTTTTGGCTTGTGCGCTCATCTACCAAGCCATCCAATCATTTTTCGTTCATTCCTATTCCTATTCTATTCTACATTGATTTCGTCAGTGGTCACCATGCCAGAACATGACTCGCGCATTCCCAATGTTACGCGGCAGCGAAACACGAGCGTCTAGTCGAGTCGTCACGAGACAAGGTCTTAGTCTAAGACACAAGTCCGTTCAAGTGACACTTCTGGCGATGTCCTCGCACTGAAGGTCGATCAGAGTTCGTTCTTATGACTCGTAGTAGCTGTCTGCTACTGACGGTCGATCTCAGTCAAAGGCAAGTGAAAAGCTGGTTTAATGGTAACCAGGTCGAGATGGGGATCCAGCTCGACAAGGTCGTCTACTTATACAAAAGGTATCCGCAGTACTACGCAGTAATGCAGGATCGTTCATTGGCTAGATAAGGTGAAACGATGTCTAAGCAGGGTAACAGCGAGGAAGTAATATGTATGGGAAAGCTGAGTAAGGTCGTGAGAGATAATCAGTACTAATGGGGATAACGAGTCATGTATCAGAACGAGGTAAAGATGAGGCATACATGCACGTTTTGCATGTGCGATAAGAAGAAGGTTCGGAGTTGGATCCGGTGTAACCCTAGACTAGGGGTTCTGGACATCTGAATAAAGAATCGGGGGTTGCGCTCCGATGAGTCACGTGTTGGATCACGTGGTCTGGTAACGTAAAGGGAACAAAGAAAAGAAAAAGAAAAGACGCGCCGCAAGTGAGGAGCGTTGTAACATCAGCTCCCGTCTAACGTTTCTTGTCCCACAAGAAATATTGCGATCTTCATCGTCGTCGGGGGCAGTCGCGGACATAATGATCTCCTCCACATCTGTAGCATGTCCGCCGGCTGGTTCGTGATCCTCGTTCAGGGATACGTCCATCCCTGTAGGGATGACTGCGACGCGAAGAAGTGGATGCGGTCGAGAAAGATGGTTGGGATAACAGAGATTGTCCACTGGGTATGTGCGAACGAGGAGGGCGAGGTCGAACGGGAATTGGTTCTGGCGACGAGCGAGGAGTGGATGCGGGTGTTCCATTAGTGGTGTATCCGAGGATGTGTCCGATGTCTTCGTCCCCATGCTCCCTCCAAATCTCCTGTGCTGTACGAGTGACCGTACTGCGCATTAATGACCAGACTTGGTCGACTCTGGTTCGGGCTCTACTCGTCCTTTCCTCTGCTGCGATGAGCTCTTGTCTGGCCGTCTGCATCCACTCGTCCATTTCTAATGCTCGTTGCATGGAAACCACTGCTTGTCGATCTTGCGGGCGATTTCGTAAGGCGACGAGGATATCTGTGAAGTCGACAGGAACACGGATAGCCGAGACCAGACGTGTGGCAAATTCTTGTTCGTCCGATGCGTGACTGAGTTCGATAGAAGGTGAGGGCGATGAGGCGCGGATAAAGGGTGTCTGTGCTCGAGAGGGTACTCCATTGACAAGCGTAGGCGATGCGGGTATGCTCATAATTGTGGAGGCGACTTCAGCGAGTATATTGTGAACAAGGTCGTCTATAGCGGAAGTGGGCATTGATGATATATCGTCTTCTCCTCTTTTTATACCTTTCGGTCGTTAAGGGGATCGCGGTTATCTGTGATGTGAAATAGAATGTCGTGGATCCGGGTAATAATCAAATAGATGAAAATCCATTGGACGATAAAGAGTATTCCCACAGAGATAAGAGCTGCCTGATCAGTTCCAGGCATCGTTCTGATCACCCCAGCCGTTAGCGTGCGGGCTGTCTCGCGTGAAGAGTGTGTGTTCGACGAGTCGTCTGATAAGGATTCGGTGGATGATCCAAAGAAAAGTGAGGGTTGTGCAGTGGAGGACGATTAGGAAGATGATGAGGAAAACTGTCGTGGTAGTCATTCCGGGTTTCTTCTCCTCTACTGGATTCTCCTGGTCCTTTTATATGCATCGAGGATTCGCTTGGCATTCTGTAAATTGTGGGCAGGTTCCCACGAGTTTTCTGCTGAAGAATATCCCTTCCACTTGACTAAGTACCTCAGATGACCTCGGTACGTCTTGTGATTCAGGATGGCTTCGACTTCGTACTCTTCTTCGTTATCAACGACATCAGGTGGTGGGTTCACGTAATTCGGACCATGTATGTCGTTTTCGTGATAAGGAGATAGAAGGGCGGCGTGAAATACGGAATGAACTCGCCAGGTCTTCGGGAGTTTGAGACGATAGTTGGCTGGTCCGATGACTTCGGCAATTTCGAATGGCCCTTCACGCTTTGGTGCTATCTTGCGCGAGGCGTAATTGACCTTCAGGTTCCTCGAGTCTAGCCAGACCTTCTGTCCTAGTGTAAACTTCGGCGATCCTTGTCTGACTCGGTCCGCCATCTGTTGTCGGGCTAACTCGTGCATGGCTAGTGCTTCTAGCCTTATCTTCTGCAACATGTCAAGCCTGGATTCAACCGATGGAATGTTCGTGGTCGGAAATACGGAAGGGAGTCCACGTGGTTCGTATCCCATCATGATGCGGAATGGGCTCATCTTCCGTGCCGAGTGTTCCCTTGTGTTATGACAAAACTCGAGGTCTGGCAGGCGGTCGGCCCATGTTTCAGGGTTGTTTCCGCAATAGAGTCGAAGATAGATTTCCAGCTCCTGGTTGACTCGCTCTGTTTCTCCGTCCGTCTGAGGGTGATAAGCTGTGCTCATTGATGATCTGATCTGGAGTAGTCGATTTAACTCTTGGAAGACCTTGGATGCGTATTGAGGTCCTCTATCCGAGATGATTCGGTCGGGTAATCCAAATCGCGAGTATACTTTGTCATGAAAAATCTTGGCCGTTCCTTCAGCTGTGATCGTTTTGAGGCAGGGCGTAAGAATCACCCCCTTCGTAAGGTCATGGTCTACTACGACCATAATTGAATCAAAACCGTTGGAAACGGGGAGGTCGGTAATAAAATCGGTGGTGCAACAGGAAAATGGTAATGCGTGTGGGTCGGCGGGAATTGGTTCCAAAGGAATACGAGTTGGATGAGTATTCGGTTTCATTTGTTGACAGGCGGCACAGCCTTCAACATAATTGTAGACAAATGTATACATGCCGGGCCACCAGAATTCACGACGTAACAGTTCAAGAGTA